GCATGGATCTCCTTTGAAATAGCTAAGTAAATATAAATTGGCTGATTCAAAAATATAGGATGTAACTGATGAGTTACTTGACAAATTTAAGTTTTGAAAGCATTGGATTTGTAACGGACTGGGCATAAACGGTTGGCTATTTTTTTTTAATTAAAATATATAACAAAGATAAAGAGCTATTCGAACAGACTTGAAAGTTGGAATCGATCTCATTTTGGCCATGTAGGAAAGAAGCTTTGACAATGCATAAAAGATATAGACTCACTCCGATTGCAACCTACATCAGAGGAAGTACTGGTTGAGGAGGCCAAGAAAGCTAATGAGATGGAGGAATGGTTAGAAAGGGAGGAGGTGATGTGAAAACAACGTTCCAAGGAGATATGGATCCAAGAGGGTGACCGGAACACTCGCTTTTTCGACCAACGTGCATCGAGTCGTAGAGAATTGAATAGAATTAAAGGACTGATGGGTGAGAATGAGGAATGGCACACTGAACCAAAGGAGATGAGACAAATAGCCACAAACTACTTCAAAGCTCTTTTCTCCACAACATATCCTTTAGAATTTAACTGAGTGATGGGTGGGATAAGACATATAGTTTCAGATAAGGGAAAATGCTTTCCTGCTTTGAGAATTTACAGAAAATGATATCACTACTGCTCTCTTCCAAATGAATCCCTCAAAGGCCCTTGGGCCGGATGGTTTTTCAACAGGTTTTTTCCGAAGTTTTTGGGGAACTGTGAAAGAAGATGTGGTGGCGCCATGCTTGAGCTTCCTAAATGGCAGAGGAGAATTACCTGCTGGGTTAAACTTCACTCATATTGTGCTCATCCCCAAATGAGCCAACCCGAGAAGCATGTCTGATTTACGCCCTATTAGCTTGTGTAATGTCATTTACCGTATCTTAACAAAAGCCTTAGCAAATTGGTTTACACAAGTGCTGCAACATGTAATTTCTTTGGAGCAGCGTGCTTTCCTTCCGAACAGACTGATTACTGACAATGCTATGATTGCCTTTGAGGTTCTACACTATATGCACAACAAGGGGCGTAGAAAAAGGGGTTGGCAAGCAGTGAAACTAGATATGAGTAAGGCTTTTGATCGAGTGGAATGGTCATACCTTGTGCAAGTCATGCGTGCCTTTGGTTTTGTAGAAGATTGGATTCGGTTAATTATGGCATGTGTCACATCCGTCCAATATGCTGTCCTTCTAAATGGTGTGCAATCCGAAAAGGTAACGCTACAAGAGGCTTGTGCCAAGGAGATCCTTTGTTGCCTTGTTTGTTTATCCTTTGTGCAGAATGACTCACAGCTATGATCCACGAAGCTGAACGGCATAAGTTGCTTCATGGGGTGAGGGTAAGTAGGCAGGCATCGAAGATTTCTCATCTCCTTTTTGCAGATGATAGTCTTTTATTTCTCCAAGCAACTGAAACTAAAGCTAAAAATTTGCTGAATATCTTAAAAGATTACGAACAAGTATCAAGACAAGTTGTTAATATGTAGAAATCCTCTATCACCTTCAGCAGTAATGTACAGCAGGCAACCAGATCAAGAATCCTTCAACTACTGGGGATGACGGAAATAGAACAAGCAGGACAGTACTTGGGTTTCCTAGCACATGTAGGACAATCTCAAACAGTAGCTTTTTCAAGCCTGAAGTTAAAGTTTTGGACAAGGTTAAATGAATGGCGTGAGCAACCTTTGTCTAAAGCAGGAAGAGAGGTCTTGATTAAATCAGTATTGCAATCTCCTCCCATTTACATTATGGGGCTTTTCTACTTACCCCTCACATTGTGCTCAAAGCTAGAGAAAATTATGAATAGATATTGGTGGGGAGGTGGAGAAGACACCCACAAAATCCACTGGATGGAGTGGAGGAAGTTAGCCTTACCAAAGAAGAGTGGTGGATTGGGCTTTCGAGCCTTCCATGAATTCAACATAGCAATGTTAGCTAAATAGGGTTGAAGGATGCTGGTAAACACTGAATCTCTAATGGTAAAGGTGCTAAAAGCTAGATACTTCCCTCACAACGACTTTTTAAGGTCTGAGCTAAAACCCACATTAAGTCTCATATGGCGTAGTATTTGGTGTTCAAAGGAACTGTTGAAAAGAGGCTGCAGACATCTGATTGGTGATGGTCGAGGCACTCTTATATGGGGCGATCCTTGGATCCCAAACGATTCCCAATTTCTTGTCCAATCTCCACATCTTGAGAGGTGTGAGTTTCAATATGTGAGTGATCTTATAGATGAAGACACATGTACATGGCAGAGGGATGTGATTATGAGTACTTTGAACCCTCATGAAGCACAGTTAATCTTGTTGATACCACTAAGCTAGATGAGAAGGAGTGATGGCTGGACATGGGCTTTCACACGGAATGGAAATTATACAGTCCGATCAGGGTATCACCAAGCAATCCACATGCATAATCACTCTGTTGATCCATCTAGCTTCACCACTAACTTTCGAGGGTGCCATATTTGGGTTCTAAATATACCAAAGAAGGTTCGCTTACTAGCTTGGAGTGCATATAGAGACATTCTCCCCACTATGATAAACTTACAACGGAAAAGAGTAGTTGTGGATCTTGAGTGCCCAATGTGCCACATGGATATTGAAACTGTGAACCACTGTTTTATGGCTTGTCCTATGGCTCGGGCAATGTGGTTGGGCTCCTCTTTGAGCCTTAGAGTATCAGAGCTTCATGTTGATAATTTTGCTGGTTTTTTCGAGGCCATGACAACTATTCTAGGATCGGAGCAACTGGAACTTTTTTGCATCCTATGTTGGAAATTATGGTGCTGCAGGAACGAAGCTCTGTGGGAAGGCAAGACCATGGAACCTAAGCAGATAATAGAGAAAGCTTTACTTTTTCTGCAGGAATACAATGCTGCTCTATTATCACGAGGTAGAGGGGCAGCTAGTGTGCAGAGGAGAAGTGAGACGCGGTGGAGGCCACCTGATGCTGGATTTGTAAAGATCAATGTGGATGGAGCAATCTGTGCACAGCGAGAGCTTTATGGATTGGGAGCTGTGGCACGTGACTCATCAGGGGAGGTGATTGCTGCTATGATGTCTGAGGGATATGGGCAGATCTCAGCTGAGGAAAGTGAAGCATGCAGCCTGCGAAACGCTTTGAGATGGGCGAGGGACCTTATGATCGACAAGTTGTTGTGGAGACCGATTGTGCAAGCATCGTCACAGCAATCAACGATGATACTCTTTCCTTGAATTCCAATCTTGGATATATCCTCCTAGACTGCAAGCATCTCATGGCATCTTTCACTATATGTCGCCTGGAACATGTTCGCCGTAGTGGAAACCCGTAGCTCACGAACTTGCAAGAAGAGCACTCCAAGCAGAGGATGACTTCACCTGGCTAGATAGAGCACCAGAGTTTATATCACACCTTGTAACAGGGGATAGGGCGGTTGATAAATGATGTACAAATCCTGTTACTTTTCCTTATGAATAAAGTGTGCATGCTTTACATCAAAAAAAAAAAGAAAAAGAGGATGAGAAAGGCTATTTCTATTACGATATAAAGATGTCTCAAAAGAAATTTAAGAACTGTCAGTTTTAATTTGCAATCAATTACAGGCCACAGCCAGGCCTCAGCAGCTTGCAATTTGATCGTTGAAGGTAGAGTAGAGGGCTGAAATTGAAAACAGAACTATACTGTTTAATCGCTATCTCAACTCACAAAGCCCAAAAGTCCAGGATAATACCAAGGCCTATAAAGATGCCCAAGAAGACAATGTACTAGAAGTTTGGAAGGACTAATCTCAAACTGCGCATGTCCAAGTCCAATACGCTTATGCTTCTTTCATTTTCTTCATTTCCCAAGTCAACGTTCTTCCAGTTGCTTTAGCCCTGTCGTCTCCTTCTATTTTCCTGGATTGTCTTACAAGTTAGGATTCGTGAAAAACAACTGGGAATTATTAATATTGTCTTGTTTAGAAATTTATTCGCAGAGAAAAATATGAAAAAGCAAGCTCTGTACTTGCAGAAGGGATGAGGAATGCATTAGCCGTGACATGCGCATGAAAAAACATCCTAAAAACGAAGAAGAATTGCAGTCACATGGAAGATCAACGACTTGCTTCAGAAGTTTGGGAGCATAATTTTGCCGAGAATAGCGGGAGTTGGGTCCCTTCCCATCCCAACCCCAATGCACTTTCTTCTATATATACCGGAGATCAATGCAGCTTTCTTCACAGCTAGCTTTCAGTTTGTGTAACACATTGTTAGTTGAGAGAAGCATTTAATCTGCTAACAATGGCTCTGATACTCAAAACAAATTTCCTCATTCCCATGTTAATGATTGTAGTAGGGTGTTGGGCATTGCAAACAACCTCCCGCATATTGCCTGAAGCTGACATTGCTGAGAAACACCAGTCCTGGATGTCTCAGT